GGAAGTCAGTCTGTAACCAGAACGGTTAATTTTGAATTAACACTGGGTCTGCTTCTGCGACTTTAACCCGTGTCTTGCAGATATTGTGGGTGTATATAATGGCCTGCCTCAGAGAGACAACCTGGCCTTCCCACCTGTGAAGGACTGTGAGATTCTCGAGCTCTTTGTGTGGCAAACGGCGCCCCTCACCTGCTTACCGCTCGGAAATCCACATTTGGAGAGGACAGAATCACAGATAGCTGTGGCATCTTTGTTTGTTGATATGACACAAGATGTTCCATTTCACACCACCCATGAAATAACTGTAAGGAAGTAAAACTAATACATTCCACTGCCTAAGGCTCGCCATTCTAGGAGATACTTGCAAGGACTTAATGGTCTTTTTACTTTGTGTCCTCACCTCTCCCGTCTCTCATTCGGAGAGCTCCTGGCATCTAGGCCCCGATAAGATGGCTGTTAGGAGACGCTAGTCAACCATCTTCTCAGTCAGCCAGCTTTCCAAATACAGCCGTGCTCCTTGCCTCAACACCTCATCTCTCACATTTATTGGCCTAGGGTGTGGCGAGCAGAGTGAGCTTGAACTTGGTAACAACTGGGCGTGCCAGTGCGGGAGTTTTGCTGCTCTTGGCTCGCCACATTGAGACGGGATCCTAAGCAGCTCCTGGACCGACTGTTCTGGGAGTCTTTCCCTCAAGATTCCCTGAAAGTGGTGCCAGCTGCCCCCAGCACGTCGCAGTTGTAACAAGGATCTGACTTAATTTGTAGGGTTAAGTCTACCCAATTCAATAGCCAGCTCATTTGTTTTTGGTTTGTGTGCCCCTCTGTGTTATAAGTTGACAGGCTTGGGTTTTGTAGGGTAGATCACTCTGGTGTGCACACTTGGAACATACTCCTCCCTCGCTTAGGGCTTTTCATTTTGGGACAAGCCAATTTGGTTGAGGTACCCTGTTTGGGGTGAGGGGAAGGTGTTTTTTGGACTATCCAAGTGGGAACTGATTCATCTGGGAGCTAATTCTTGTGAGGCAGGACTAGTCTAGTTGGAATTGGTTCATTTGTTTTGTAGGCTGAAATTTATTTACTTGATTTGGGAGGCAGATCATCTATGCCATTGGTGCTGGACTTTGTGCTGTTTTTGTTGAAATTTGTCTACGTCCTTGTGTCTTGGTGTTACAAAGCTAATAGAAATGGGGCGTGCTCCATCTATCCCAAAGGAAAGCCCTCTGGGGCATATATTAGATAAATGGGCAAAATATAGCCATTAGCCTATGACTAAGAAAGATATAATACTGTAACGAAGTGTGGACACAATATATTTTAGGATCAGAAGAGCAAAGACACCTAAATGACTCCCCCAATTATTATACAGTTTCATGGTTAGAAATGTTCTGCAAAATAGCAGGAAAGAAAGATGAAATTCCATTAACAGAAGCATTTATGCTATTACATTATTACATCAGGAGAATAAGACTCGAGGACTACTGCCTTGCAGGGCAGTGACCTGAAAGGAAGCCCAAGGGAAAGCCCACTCCACAATGGGAGAAGGTGGGAGTGGGGAAAGGTTACGCCAGAGCCTGAACCCCACTGGCTGAGCAGGCTGCGCCACCCATGTCCTCAGCATATTCACCGCTTTCCTTGCCTCCTGTTTACACTGCCGATGGGGAACAGACAGACGTTTCATGGCAACCCCTGAGTCACAGGGACCTGGTCGGGTGTCACCATCCCAGACCCGACAGGGCACCCAGTTTGGCCTGGGAGCCACTTCAGCAACAGGGTGACTCCCCTCGCGCCAAGACCCCAGGGGGCCTTAATGCAAATGACCAGCCCACTGAGTTCCTGCTAACTCACACTCCTTTCTCCGCCTTGGATTTTCTTATCTGAGAAACCATATCCCGGCTCACCAAGAGGACCCACTCCGCACAACTGAGCATTTCACCTCCATATCTGCCACTCCCCACTCCACTTGGGTGGATAGTCACACGCTTATGGATTTGACATTAACTGAAAAGGAAAGAGGAGAAGGCAATGGCACCCCACTCAAGTACTGTTGCCTGGAAAATCCCGTGGATGGAGGAGCCTGGTAGGCTGCAGTCCATGGGGTCGCTAAGAGTCGGACATGACTAAGCGACTTCACTTTCACTTTCATGCATTGGAGAAGAAAATGGCAACCCACTCCAGTGCTCTTGCCTGGAGAATCCCAGGGATGGCGGAGCCTGGTGGGCTGACGTCTATGGGGTGGCACAGAGTCGGACACGACTGAAGTGACTTAGCAGCAGCAGCAGCAGAAGAGGAAAGGATGGTTATTGACAAAGTTAGGGAGGAAGCGTACCAGCTCCATCTGGTGGATCTGAGTGCAACTCACAAAGCTGATTGCAGTCTCCACTGTGAGCCCAACTGGGACCCTAATAACGGGGGCACCCCACTTCTAGAACATTATGGATGTATTTTAATGAGTCTTCGAAAAGGAGTGCCCAGACAAAAGACCTTAAACAAAATTCCAGAGCTAAAACAAGAACCAAACAAAGATCCATCAGAGTTTCTAGAAAGGCTTTATCAAGCTTATAGGCGATTCACAGAGCACACTCTGAGGCCCATGAGAACATGAGAATGGTAAATATGACCTTTGTCGGACAAAGCACCCCAGACACAAGGAGGAAATTACAGAAGTTAGATGGTGGGTTTGGAATGAAATTTTGTCTATTAGTAGAAATTGCTTTTAAGGTATTCAACAATAGGGAACAGTGCAGAAACAAGGTGAAAAACAGAAGGTGGCCCTTCTGGCAGCACCCCTGAAGACAAACAGCCTGAAGGAAGGTCAGCCACCGCTGGGGAAGGAACAATGTACTTAGTAAGGAGAAAGGGCGTTGGAGAAAAGATTGCTCTAAACTGAAAAATAACAAGGGGAAGGCAGGAGCCTTTCTTGGCGAGGAGAGGAACACTCCTGATAATGAATGCAAAGGCTGGGGGCTCTCTTGGACTTAAAATAAGTCTGATCTTAATTTCCCCCAGGAGGCCCAGGTAACACTGACAGTGGGGAACAAGTTGATTTGACTTTCCAGTAGACGCGGGTGCCACCTACTCTGTGGTGAACACCGAAGCAGCAGAGAAAACATCCCAGTCTATCCGGGTCGTGGGGATTTCTGGATAAGTAAAACAACTGAACATTTTTACAACCTCTGGAATGCTAACTAGGGGATCTTACCCTTCCACATAGCTTCTTATATAAGCCAGAGGGTCCAATTCCCCTGGAGGACAAGATCTCCTTTGTGAATTAAACGCTCAAGTAACCATCTCGCCAGAAGAGCTTGGCGTCAGGGCCCTGCAGGAGCGCGCCTTGGGCCCAGAAGCGGCGCTCACACAGACCCCAGGAAAGGGAGCAGAGCTCCTTCTCCCGGAAGTCTGCACGCGGCAAAGTCGTAGGCGTGGGCTGACGGCACGCTGGGGAAGGCCACAAATGCAAGGCCAACATAAAGCCCACTAAAGAGGGTGCTGGGGCACCTAATTTAAAACAATATCCCCTGAGGCAAGATGCCCAAGAGAATCCAGTCAATTCTGGAGAAGTCTTTAAAAACAGGACTCATCAGACAGAACACCCCTATCCTCCCAGTAAAAAACCAAACTCAGGAGAGTATTGTCTCATTCAGGACTTGAGGGCTATTAATGAAGTAGTCCACAGCTTACACCCTGTGGGGCCTAATCCACACACTCTGCTCACAACTGTTCCCAGAGAACACAGTTGGTTCTCAGTCCTGGATGTGAAGGATGCTTTCTTCTGTACTCCTGTTGCAGAAGAATTGCAGCTGCTATTTGCCTTTGAATGGCAGGACCTGGGAATACAGCCAGTCCAACACTACTGTTGGATAATCCTGCCTCAAGTGTTCAAAAATTCCCCTGCCTTGTTTGGGGAAACGCTGGCTAGAGACTTAATGTTGGATGAAGGACTTTTGCTCCAATACGTGGATGACATGCTCATGCAAGCCCTACATATGACTAGTATCTAAAGAATACTGTCAGGACCCTGAACTATTTGGCCAAATGTGGATATAAGATCTCCCAGGAAAAAGCCCAGATATGCAAACATGCCACATATCTGGGCTTTGTCCTCTCCCAAGGACAACTGGACCTCTTGCCTGACAGAAAGCAAGCAACTACAGGTTTGGGAGCACCGAAGATGTGCAGACAACTGAAAGGTTTTCTGGGAATGGCAGGGTTTTGTCCGATTTGGATCCCAAATTATGGGCTCACAGGGAAGCCCCTGAGACACTGAAGGGACATGACCTTGAGCCTCTTACTTGGAGTAAAGAGGGCCAAACAGCCTTTCAGACAATAAAAAGGAACTTAGTCTCAGATCCAGATTTGGACTACCAGGCCTAAAGAAACCTTTCAAACTGTATGTCCATGACACATTAGATAAGCCTTGGGGTGCTAATCCAAACCCTGGGAAATGTCCCCCAACCTGCTGCCTACTTCTCAGAACAACTAGAACAGCCTGCCAAGGGCCGGTCTCCTTGTTTGTGAGCTGCGGCAGCTACTTGTGACACGCTTCAGGACTCTGAGAGGCGAGCCCTGGGGCAGTCCACGCTGTGTGCGCCTCATCATGTCCTCCATTTGCTGGAACAAAAAGGGGGCTGTGGGCTGCCTTCAGGACAGTACTAAGCCATTCTCCCTGACAACCCCCATGTGAGACTCCAGCCCTGAATCCAGCACAGCACTCCTGTTTAATGCTGCGCCCACAGGTCATAGAGCTGTGAACTCCAGCGGACCAGACCTAACAGACAAGCCCCTGGCTGAGTCGAAAACAGAACTGGTCACCGACGGATCTGGCTCCATGGACCAGTGTCAGCGTGCCAAGGTGTGCAGTGGTGACCCTGACACAGAGGTGGAGGCAGAAGCCCTGCCCCGGGAGCTCAGCTCAGAAACCACTGCCTCAACAGGAGCTCTGCGCAGCCCCTGGGGGCCCGGTGCCCCACAGGCCGCCTCCCCCTGAAGAGAAAAGACAGGAGTGCGGGGGGCGCAGTGCTTTTATTATGACTGGGGGTGGGGAGCGGGCACAAGCGCAGCTTCCAGCCAGGCCAGCGGCTCCGGGTCTGCGGCGGGGGACGGCGGTGGATAGGGGTGGCTGTGCAGGGTGCGGACAGTGCAGAGCAGGAGAAGGTGGGTCAGGAGTGGCCGGTGAGGAGCAGGTCCTGGAGAAGGAGGCGCTGTTCTACTTCCAGCGCCCGGTGACCTTGGCCTTCCCTCGGGTCTTGGAGCTGCAGGAAGCAGGGCCCAGTCAGGGGGGATGGGTTGGGGGTGCCTCCGGGGGCTTTGGGGGTGCTGAGGGCCGACAGGGGCAGGGGCACGCTGAGTTGCCTGTAGAGGCTCAGCCCAAAGCAGCCTCGTTGGGGGCAGGGGCCTGACCACAGGAGTGGGGAGGGGCCGGGAGACCTCGGGGGCCAGGGGCTGGGGGGCAGGCGGGGAAGGGCTGGAGTCAGACACTCACACTTTCTGGTTGTCGTTGATCCTGTTTCGGAGAACATTGATCTGAAAGAAACAGCGGGAAGAGTAGCCCAGACACCCGCTGTGCTCGGGCCCAGGTGGCCTAGGGAGGCGGGGGTCCCAGAGGCCCCGGGGACTGGGCGGGGCCAGGGGGTAAGTGGTCCTCCTGTCTGCCATCTGTGAGGCAGGGACCCCACTGCCTCTCCCAGGACCCACACTGGGGCCCCAAGTGAGCAGTGCGGGGAGTGAAGGGGCCAGATCACTGGTGAGCCCCTGACTCCACAGGAGGCCTGGCCTGTGTGATCGGTCCTCCCGTTGGACTCAGGGCACTGAGCTGCTGCCACAGGCCAGAAGTGGGGGCCCTCAGGGCTGGATCCCCAGGAAGTGTCTGCTCAGCCCCAGTGACCCTCAGGCTCTAGGAGCACCAGCCCCGGCAAGGGCAGGGAACACCACCAGACAGGCCCCAGCGGGTGTGGGGGGACAGAGGCTGCCAGTGGGAGCGCGGGCAGCAGCCGCTCACCTCATATTTCTGCTGCTTGAACTTCTCCTGCAGGTCAAACTTCTCCGCCTCCAAGTCGTAGATGTTCTGCCACAGCTCCTTGGCCTTTTCCCTGCACAGGCCAGTGGGAGGGGTGGGCGGTAAGAAGGTCCCCGCCTGCCGGTATGTGGATCCTGACCCCCCGGCCCTGCCCTCCTTCACCCACAGGCCCCGCACCCTGGCTCGGCCTGGGCAGTGCCCAGCACTGCAGGCGGATGCCAGTGCTGCCAGGACAAAGCCTCAGGATGTGGAGCTGGGGAGCCCTGGCAGGAAGGAGAGGGAGCCAGGTGCCCCCTGCCAAGAAGCCCCAGGCCAGCCTCCCAAAGCCCCCGCGGGAAAGTAGGGTAGCAGCACCCAGTGACACAAGGCAGGATGCCCTCTGGAGGTGCAGCCCCGCAGGCGGCCCACCTCAGCTGGTCTTCGTTCAGGTGGTCAATGGCCAGCACCTTCCTCCGCTCAGCCAGAATCTTCTTCTTCTTCTCCCGCTCTGTCTGTCTCTTCCCACTTTTACGCTCCGTCTGGAGAGAATAAGAAGCAAGGGAGGGACTAGAGAAGCCCTGCCTTCCCTGCATCCCCAGGCCTGGCAGGGAGACAGGCCTGCCTGCAGCAGGGCCCATGCTCATCTCCCTGCTGCACACCCAGGCCAGCAACACCCGGCCTCCCCAGAGACACTGCATCCCCCATCCACTTCCAGCCCAGCACATTGCCCTCCCCAGGCTCCCCAAAGGAGAGGAGAAGGACCTGAGGACCGGAACCTACCTCAGCCTGCACAGCGGGACAGCGGGAGAAGAGCCCCAGAGAAAGACAGAAGAGGCGACAGACAGAGGGAGGGACAGGGACAGAGCGGAGACATGGAGGACAGGCGTCAGCCGCTGCGGGCGAGCCTGCTGCTGGACCTGCAGGCGGGCGGGGCCAGGGCCAACTGCCAGCAGGGCCCTGCTTGAGGGTCACCAGGAGGCAGGGCCCAGGGGCTAGCCGGGTCCACGGCACAGAGAGTTCAGCTCTCCCTTCCCCTCCCTCCAGGAATGGGGGTGGGGGGGCAACCACACTAGGCCCTGGGATGGGCCCTAGGAGGAAACCAGCCCACATCCAGGCAGCACTCAGCTGCTTTCCAAGGTAGTCTGACCATCTCAGAGCAGGCAGATGGCACCATTAATGCCATCCTACAAATGGAGAGAAAGCCTCCAGGCTGCGGGAGGCCACACCAGGCAGACCTGAGATGGGGCTCCGAGCCTGCGGGCTGCACCAGCCACCAGGGGCCAGGGCTGGGAAGAGCGCTGGTGCTCTGGACTCGTGGGAGCCCCCAGCCGGGCAGCTCCTCTCAGGGAAAGCCAGACGGGCAGAGCCAGCTCAGGGTCTGGGTGTGAGGACGTGGTCTCCCAGCGGTGGCTGGGTCTTTCTCTCCAGAACCCCCGCAACAGCACGTGTGCCGCAGCAGGAGGAGCTGGAGGCCCCCACCTTCTGGATGTAGCCTCCGAAGTGCATCATATTGGACAGAGCCTTCTTCTTGCGCGCCTCATCCTCCGCCTTCCTGCGGCTCTCCTCCTCCTCTCGGCGGGCACGCTCCTCCTGGTTCCCGCGGGCAGAGAGTGGGTTACGCTGGGGACCAGACGCCCTGGTCCTGAGTCTGGGCCAGCACTGAGTGCGCGCCCGGCACAGGCCTGGCGCTGGAGGTGCCCGGCGGGAGAAGAGGGTTGAACAGATGGGCTCCGATTCCCGAGGGTCTGCTCACCTCCAGGCCAGGAGGCCCTGCGGTGGGGGCCCACCTGCAGCAGCGCCAGAGGGGGCTGAGGGGCTCAGCTCCCGGGGGCGTGCTGCGGAGGGATGGAGCGTCTCCTTAGACACTCCGGGCATCTCTGTCTCCTCCACTGTCAGAGCTGGGACAGCGACCCTGGGCCCCGAGGACGGAGACCTGCAACCACTCACCGCCAGGCGCGTCTGCCGCTCTTTCTCGCGCTCGGTACGGATGCGCTGCTGCTCCGCGCGCTCGGCCCGCCGCTTCTCCTGCGGTGGGAACGGAAAGAGCGCGGTCACTCGGGACGGACCTCAGCCCCCGGAGAGGGCCTGGCGGCCTTCGCCGCGACCCCTGAGTGCCCACCGCCCCCGCCCCCGCAGGTGTGGACGCCACCCTGTGCTGGGAGGTGGAGGCCAAGCTCTGTGGAGCAGGAACGGGCTAGGCGGAGGGGCTGGGGGGTGGAAGAGAGAGAATCCAGGCTCAGGGGAACCGCGTGCCCTCCATCACTGGGACGGGGTTGTGCCCAGGGGGCGGGAGGTGGGGGCGGCGATGCCGACTCCCCTCTGCCCTGGGGGATGGGGGAGGGAAGAGAGCGCGGGGCGGGGCGCTAAGGGCTCCTACTGGACCTCCTCCCAGCCGCCCAGAGGGCGCAACACCCACGATCCTGTCTTTGAGGGAGACCAGCTCCTCCTCCTCCTTCTTGCGGTTCTCGAAATGCGCCTCGATCAGCGTCTGCAGCTCGTTGAGGTCCTTCTCCATGCGCTTCCGGTGGATGTCCTGGGGGGGGGGGGGG